AACCCTAAAAAAAAAAACCCTAAAAAACCCTAAAAAACCCTAAAAAACCCTAAAAAACCCTAAAAAACCCTAAAAAACCCTAAAAAACCCTAAAAAACCCTAAAAAACCCTAAAAAACCCTAAAAAACCCTAAAAAACCCTAAAAAACCCTAAAAAACCCTAAAAAACCCTAAAAAACCCTAAAAAACCCTAAAAAACCCTAAAAAACCCTAAAAAACCCTAAAAAACCCTAAAAAACCCTAAAAAACCCTAAAAAACCCTAAAAAACCCTAAAAAACCCTAAAAAACCCTAAAAAACCCTAAAAAACCCTAAAAAACCCTAAAAAACCCTAAAAAACCCTAAAAAACCCTAAAAAACCCTTAAGAAACCCTAAATAACCCTAAAAAAAATCCCTAAAATCCCTAAACCCTTAATTGAAGGGTATCCTTCAATGTAATCCCCTAAATAAACACGTTTATCGTACTCCCCGGGTCCTAAAGTAGACCCTACATACCTCACAAACAACTTTTAAACACTTTTTGCTGGAAAAAGAATTATTTCCTTTTTTGGGAAACAATACCGGTTCTCTAGGCTTTCCCTAGACTCGGAACGGCTCGTATCTAAACAGGTTTTAGTCGGCTCGGCCCGGATGTAAAACTGCAAAGTTGTTTTGAAAGTCGAAACTTTAATTTAAAGTTTCGACTTTACCCCCTATGATAGTTTCACCCATGACCATCCTTTTAAGTTTGTCGACTTTCAGACAGACTTGGAGTCATCCGGAAACAACTTGAACCACATCTTTTTGTTGAAAGACAAGGTCCCCTTCGTTCTACTTCCCGTTAAAAAGACGTCAACAGAACTTAAGTCAACTGACACCGGGATAGAAAGTATGGCACATGTACTCAAACTCGAAAGATAATTGGTTCATATCATAATAATCAAGATATGTCTATCCGTAAACAAATACTGCGGATTAGAAATAGTTCACCCTTCTCAATGAGAGAAAGAGAATGGTGAAAAAGTATATAAGAAGACAAGGCTGAAGAGAAAAAATCGAAACAAGCACTTGTCCCAACGTCTTCTTTCTTTTACACACTCTCAGTCCCTTAAACACCTTTTTCACACCCCTCCTATTATAAAAAAACCCTACTTCATTCTCACCACTATGTCGAACATGAATATCCAAGGATCATCCGGTCGCCCCCAAGGTGGTCAAGACATCGCCTCCCTTTTGGCTCGCTCCGCCGAGACCAACCGAATGCGAGATGCCGCCATCATTGCTGCCAGTGCCGCCCAAGCCCTTGCCCAAGCCCAAGACCCTGATGACTCCGAGATGGGAGTGGATCGCCCCCCGGCTGGATCCACCACCCTCGATGACCTTATTATACGTTTGGGTTTAGCAACCCAGACGGAAGGTTCCTCTCTCCACCCTGGCAGTTATCTTCCCTCTTTTAAGAAGGGAGCTCTATCTGAAAAGGTGGCCGCTGACATTCTACACAAGTTTGTCAATAGAGCGGCCGTTTTGATGGATAAAGTCAAAGCGGCAGAGAAAGTTCTGCGAGAACTGAATGTACACACAACTGCTGACTATTGGGGTAAACCCTTTGTGAACAACAATCGTGTTACATTGTCCAAGGAAGCACAAGCTTCTCTTAATGCTGAGTACAATCTACTCCTTGTCAATGTAATTCGCAATGACAAGGTTAGTGTGATTGCCAAGGCTCAAGAGGAACTTGATCAAACCCTTCCGAAAAACCTATCTGATGCATTACAGGCATCATTGGTCTCTATTGAGACTAATGACCGTCTTACAATGCAAGGTAAGGACTATACTCGCACCCTTCTTAAGGCGGCTGCACAAGAGTTTGTCACTCAAGTACAGGCGCTGAGGGTTACCGCAGAACTTGAGGCAGTTAACAATGGATTAAAGGTACTCCATCAAATTGTCTATGACTGGTTTGCCCCGAGATTACATGCTATTCTCATTTCATCTAACCAATATCTTACTTCACCACGCTTAGAAAATCAAGCTGAACAAGACTTCCGCAAAGCGCGGAAAAGGCAAATCACCCCCTCACAAGCGCAAGAACGAACTTTCCAAGTTCAAGGGCCCAAAAGGCCCCGCGCCCAAGAAGGGGAAGAACAACAAGAAGAACGGACCCAAACCCAAAGGACCCAAGAACCATCCCAAAGGGAAACATCCGTCCGCGAAGGCAGGCAACCAAAGAAGCCAAAATGGCGCGCGCCGAAACGCAGCCAGAAAGAAGTAATTCATCGCGATGTCCAAAGTTTTGATGGAGTAAACAACATTTCTTCCATCACTACTATTCCACATGATATTCTTATTGTTCTAAATAAAGGAGTCAACTTCAACATCCATAAACAGCCCAGGTATGATCTGTTAACTAAAGAGGTGTTGAAATTGAAAAAACAAATGTTTAAACAGCTTAAAAAAGCCGATAAATATATCACAAACATTCACTTCAATGCGAACAAACCACAATTAATATCTGACTTAATTACATTGAGATCTTCAAACCCGCATAAGAAACTCCTTCCAAAAATCAACAAGACCATCAAGTTTATGACAGACAATAAACTTATCATTGGCCCTGCTGATAAAAACTTGGGGCTGACTATTATGGATAGCAGCTGGTATCAGAACCAGTTGTTTAATCTTCTTAATAATCGTAATCTTTATGAAAGAGACCCCTATATTGATGTCTATGTCTCCCTTAGGCATCTTAAACAATTCGCCGCACGTCTTGATCAAGAAGAACACAGAACTTTTGTTCGTGAAACTGCGGAAATAATGGAGGACCTATATAGAAAAAATAGTAACTATTTTACAATACCAGTTATGTATCTTCTTCCAAAGATTCATAAGTCGCCTATTAGCGTCCGCCCTATAGTGCCCTCCTATCCCTGGTTTACACATACGATCAGTGAGTTTGTCGATGAACAACTTCGCGATTACTTGGTGGTATTCCGCCAAGAACTACCCGATACACCCACATTGATTCGTAAACTAGAACAATTCCATTTCAATCCAAGCTATGATTATTATGTCGCCACATATGATGTCATAAACATGTATGGAAGTATAAATGTAAATAATGCTATAGAAACTATCATTAATTACTTTGATAATGATCCAAGAGAAAACCACATCAGAGATATGATGAATCTTGCGTATTGGGTTAATAAAAACTGTATTTTATCCGATGGTAAAAAACTATACAGACAAGTTACAGGACTCGCAATGGGGACGCCTATGGCGCCAACTTTTGCTCGCCTGTATGCATGCTGCGTAGAGAAAGGCTACATATTTAAAAATATACCCATTGACCAAGTTTACTTGGACATTGATGAGGATACTTTTACACAACTTGACTTTCTTGGCAAACAAAAATTCGACTTGCAAATACTTAGATACATTGATGATGGGCTTGCCCTATTCGGTGTTCCTAGATACCAAGGAAATGTAGTTTACATGACCGAGGTAGCATCAGATCTTAAAGGCTACTTTAATGAAGCACTTTATAAGATCTATGAAGAAGCAAACGACTTGAACATTACTATAGACCATGGACTCCATGGCCGCCAAGTAGCAATGCTTGACTTAAATATTACTATTGTTACTGAGAACTCAATTCAACGTATTGACATTAGTCCTCATGACAAACCCATGAATAAACACCTATACACTAGTCCAGATACTTATTTCCCTAATAAATATATTTTCAACTGGATTAATGGTGAAAACCAGCGTTTAATCCGGAACTCCGGCTATGCTAGTTATCACAAAGTTGCAAGACAGAACTTTATTAAGTTCCTCATACACCGCAACTATCCTGAACCCGTCATTCAAGAACAACTCGGAATGCACAGTTACGAAGAACGACATCAGTTGTTGTATGGTCGTACTGCTCAGAGCCAGGCTCCCGCCGATTATAATCCACCATCAGATAAAGATGAGGATGATGATATTGAAAAGAGATTCTTTTTAAAGAATATTCCTGGTAGACACAAAGTTGAACGCTTTGGTCGTAACGTAGTTCAGGCTATCCTAAAATCCAATCCCACTAAATTTAAAGATGTTAGTGCAAACTGGATAATCTATAGAGGTTCAAACATCCGCGATGAGTTGAACAAGTATAATAGAAAGATCTTAGGTCAACGCCAAATCTCGGCGAGGCTCTAAGGATGACATACAATGAGTATTAATCGTCTATCTAGACGTTATACCCAGAACCCCATATCTTACACTTGGTTTTAATTGAATATATATTTTATGGGATTTAATAGAGTTAGGTAATCTTAGGTTTTTTGAGGGAGTCTTAGCGGTAAGGGCTAGACTTGATCCTCTTTGACCCCGATAAAAAACCCTTAAGAAACCCTAAATAACCCTAAAAAAAAATCCCTAAAATCCCTAAACCCTTAATTGAAGGGTATCCTTCAATGTAATCCCCTAAATAAACACGTTTATCGTACTCCCCGGGTCCTAAAGTAGACCCTACATACCTCACAAACAACTTTTAAACACTTTTTGCTGGAAAAAGAATTATTTCCTTTTTTGGGAAACAATACCGGTTCTCTAGGCTTTCCCTAGACTCGGAACGGCTCGTATCTAAACAGGTTTTAGTCGGCTCGGCCCGGATGTAAAACTGCAAAGTTGTTTTGAAAGTCGAAACTTTAATTTAAAGTTTCGACTTTACCCCCTATGATAGTTTCACCCATGACCATCCTTTTAAGTTTGTCGACTTTCAGACAGACTTGGAGTCATCCGGAAACAACTTGAACCACATCTTTTTGTTGAAAGACAAGGTCCCCTTCGTTCTACTTCCCGTTAAAAAGACGTCAACAGAACTTAAGTCAACTGACACCGGGATAGAAAGTATGGCACATGTACTCAAACTCGAAAGATAATTGGTTCATATCATAATAATCAAGATATGTCTATCCGTAAACAAATACTGCGGATTAGAAATAGTTCACCCTTCTCAATGAGAGAAAGAGAATGGTGAAAAAGTATATAAGAAGACAAGGCTGAAGAGAAAAAATCGAAACAAGCACTTGTCCCAACGTCTTCTTTCTTTTACACACTCTCAGTCCCTTAAACACCTTTTTCACACCCCTCCTATTATAAAAAAACCCTAAAAAACCCTAAAAAACCCTAAAAAACCCTAAAAAACCCTAAAAAACCCTAAAAAACCCTAAAAAACCCTAAAAAACCCTAAAAACCCTAAAAAACCCTAAATGACGCCCGGAACCTCCAAACGAACAGACCATGCAAGAAGCTCGACCATAAGCGCATGGGCCCTTACCGTATTCTCGAAAAAATCGGCACTCCATCCTTCCGTCTCGATTTACCACCAACGACCAAGCTACATCCTGTCTTTCACGTAAACTTACTTGAGCGTGCGCATCCAGATACGATCCCCGGTCGAGCCTCAAAACGACCTCCTCCGCTTGTCGTCTCCGGCGATGAGGAGTACGAGGTTGAGGCCATTTTGGATTCACGGATCAGGCGCAACCACCTTGAATACTATATACATTGGAGAGGCTACCCCGTATCCGAACGAACCTGGGAACCGGCCGCCTGTGTCAAGAATTCCCCGGACCTTGTTCGCGAGTTCCATCTGCAACACCCTCACAAACCCAGCCAAAGGCCTCTTGGAACTCGGCCCTAGAGGGGGAGGTTGTCACGAGACAAGAGCTTGCTCTTGTGACTTCGCCCTAACGAGTATAAAAGGGCCTTAGATAGCAAATCTATAGCTCTTTACTTGGTATCGCCAATACAACATACTCTTTAACCTATTCCTTATACTCATTTCTTAGTCCTTGATCAAGGTTCTCTTTATCTACTTCATTCTATTGCTTGGTCTGCTTTCTTGACACCACCATTGCAACAGGCGAAGACTGGGACAGAGAAGTATAGAACGGGGACGAGAGTTGAAGCAGTGATGATTGATGTTATTACTATGGTACAACTAAATATATATACAAAGTCGCCAACTAGGTTTCTAGGTGTAGTGTCATAGTGAGTCAGAGATGATAGAGAGTGACAAGGAATGACTAACTAGAGAGCAATGATAAACCTAATATGTTGCACCTTCCCCTCTTAAAAAAAAATCCGCTAAGTCCTAAGGCCATGGTCGCGCTTGTACTTGTTGAGGATGTCCTTACAGTGTGCCAGTTCACTCTCTGGTTCCCATGTCCAGTCCTCGCGCGGGTATCCTTGCCATTGTAGAAGGTACTCCATGTTGTTGTTAACCTTCCTATGATCTGCAATGGCCTCGACCTCATACTCTTCCTCGTCTTCAACGATAACCGGTGGTGGCCGTGCTGGTGTTCTTGGTCCTAGCGTCGCAGGTGATGGTTGGTAGCGTCGGAATCGGTCGACGTGGAAGACGGGGTGAATCTTCATGGACGGTGGAAGATCAAGGCGGAAGGAGACCGGGGACAGCTGTTCAACAATGGTGTGGGGGCCGGCAAAGCGAGCCAAGAGTTTCTGCGACGTGCGGGTGCGGTCCGAGGGTAAGGTGATATTCTCAAGGTTAAGGAGAACGTGGTCACCAACCTTGAAATCATGCTCTCGCCGATGGATGTCGGCGTTGGCTGCTTGACGTTCTTGGGCGGCAGCAAGGGACTCCTTAGCGAGGGTGAGGGCTTCGCTTCGAGATTGCACGAACTCGTTAACCGATGGGTTGGGGCCGGGAGTAGGGGTCAACAATGACATGGGCATGTTGGGATGGGCTCCGGAGTTCAAGAAGAACGGGGAGACTCCAGTGGAGGCATTGGTGGCGTTGTTCGTGGCAAATTCGGCGGCGGAAAGTAAGAGGTCCCAGTTAGACTGCCGTTGGTCGACAAAGTTACGGAGCATGGTGATAAGGGTGCGGTTGGCACGCTCGGTCTGGCCATCGGTCTGAGGGTGGAAGGCAGTCGACATGGCAAGGTGGACGTCCATCAGACGGCTCAATTCTTTCCAAAAGCGGCTCGTGAACTTGGTATCGCGGTCGGAGACAATGGTGGTTGGCATGCCGTGCAAGCGGAAAACATGGTCGAAAAAAATGCGTGCAACTTGCGAGGCGGAGTCGGTGGTGTGGCAGGGGGCAAAGTGCACTTGCTTTGTGAGTTTGTCAACAAAGACCGTAATGGAGTCAAAGCCGCGTGGGGTCTTGGGTAGGGGGCCGACAAAGTCCATTGTCACCGTTTGCCAGGGTCGATCGGGAATGGGTAGGGGCTGGAGGAGGCCAGCAGGTGGTTGGTTGCTGGGCTTAGTCCTTTGGCACGACTCACAGGTCTGCACATACAGCCGGGTGTCCTTCGCCATAGATGGCCAGAAGAACCGCGAGTGGAGATGACCGTACGTCTTCTCGAAACCGAAGTGACCAGCTATAGCGGAGTCGTGTGCATCGTGAAGAAGAGAAAGCCGAAGGTCAGAGTTCGAGGGGATACAAACAAGTAAAAGATCATTACGTTGAATGCAAAGAACACCATCAACAAGAGAGTAATTAGACGGTGGACTTCCCTGGAGGCAGCTTTCATAGATCGGTTTGAGGCGGTGATCCTCTTTGTAACCATCCATCAGGCGCTGCCGGAGCCTGGGGTCGAGCTGTACTGAGAGTGTGTTAATCTCTCTATGGTCCGGTCGGCGAGACAGGGCATCTGGGACAATGTTGTCGGCTCCTTTCTTGTACTTGAAGGTGAAGTTGTATTCCTGCAACAGTTCCATCCAGCGGGCCTGACGGCGGGTGAGTTTGGGTTGAGTGGGGAAGTGTTGGAGGGTGGCATGGTCGGTGTATACGATGAAGTGGGATCCGTCCAGATAGTAGCGCCATGTCTTCAATGCATGTACAACAGCCAACAGTTCCTGTTCGTGTGTTGGGTAGTTGCGTTCGGCAGAGTTCAGCTTGCGGGAGGTGAAGGCGACGGGGCGCGACTCGCCATGCTCATCGGTCTGAAAGAGAACGGCACCGAGAGCAAAGCCGGAGGCATCGGTTTCGACGGTTGTTAGAAGGTCGGGGTCGAAGATACGTAGAACAGGTGCTTTACTGATGGCCTCCTTCAGAGTCGTAAACGCTACTTCCTGCTCCTGAGACCAAGAGAAAGGAACGCCTTCACCTAAGAGAGCGGTCAACGGTAGGGCGATCGAGGCAAAGTTAGCGATGTACTGATGATAGAACTGTGCAAGACCAACAAACTGCTGAACATCTTTCTGCTTCTGGGGACGGGGCCATTCACGGATGGCACGAACGAGACCGCCGCTCGTATGGATACCGTCCTTGGAGATGACGTGGCCGAGGAACTCGGTCTCTTTCTGCATAAAGGAGCACTTGCTCAACTTGGCGTAGAGACCGTACTTGCGGAGGAGCGTGAGGACGGATCGGAGATGTTGTAGATGTTCGGCCTCGGTGCGCGAGTAGATAAGAATGTCGTCGAGGTAAACAACAACCCACTTGTCGAGAACAGGGTCTAATACTCGTAGCATCATATTGGAGAAGGACGCCGGTGCATTCGTTAACCCGAAAGGGACCACATTAAATTCGAAATGGCCGTAGCGGCAACGGAAGGCTGTCTTGTGTGTGTCCTCTTCTGCTATACGTTGCTGATGGTAACCGGAGAGGAGGTCAAGTTTGGTAAAGTAGCGTGCCCCGCGGAAACGGTCGATAAGTTCATCAATGCGGGGAAGGGGGTGTCTGTTCTTTTTTGTAATCCGGTTTAACCCTCTGTAATCAACACACATACGCAAGGAACCATCCTTCTTTTTCACAAACAATACAGGGGCACCATAAGGGGAGGTAGAGGGTTTGATAAAGCCTTTGCCAAGTAGGTCGTCGAGTTGCTTCCTTAGTTCATCCAATTCAGCAATCGAGAGACGTATAACAGGGCGAAAGGGGGGATCAGCGCTCGGATCAGTTTCGATCTTCATTGCATCGCCTCTGTCAGGGGGAAGGCCAGAGGGGAGGGAGGAAGGGAAAACGTCGGGGAACTCGTTGTGGACGATGTTGTGAATGTCGGGTGAGAGTGGAGGGGAGGTCGGTTTGTTGTCATTACTGTTGTTGTCGTTGGTCTTTTTAGCGATGTTGACGAGGGCGAGGTAGACAGCGTTTCCAGGTTGGGTAGCAAGGGAGTGAAAGTGAAGGTGAGAGAGGAGTTTCCCTTGTGTGCGAGCGGAGATGGAGTTGGCGTTGGCACCACGACAGCGCCAGAGAACAGTGTGTCCATTGTGGGTGAAGTGAAGGTCGTTGTTTCGCCAGTTGATGAAAGGGTTGATGGTCGTTAGCCAGGGTTTTCCAAGGATGAGGTCGTAGTTGGAGAGGGGGTAAATGAGTGCTTCCAGTTTGTCGGAGTAGTGGTCGCGGTCGATGGTAAAGGTGGAGGTGGATGATGAAATGGAAGAGGAACCGTTTGGAAGGATGATGGGGATGGAGGGGCCAGGAGTGCGAGTGAGGGAGTGTTGTTTGCAAAAAGAAGAACTGATGACGTTCCCTTCCGCACCGCAATCGATTAAAATACGCGCAGGGGCACCAGCCACATTACCAATAAACGACAAGAGTGTACGGGAGGCTTTCTCAGCCGTGAAAGCGTGCAGACGGACGGATTTGTGTCGCAAGCGTTTGGTCCTGCGCTTGGACATGGGTTGGTCTAAAGCAGCAGGAGAGGAGAGTGGGTCCAGGTCCACTTCTTCTGATGGGCTAAGACCAACAGGCGAGGTATCAGATACGTCGTCGGTGAGTTGTAACTCATCGTCAAAGGGTACCGTGGTGGAGTGAGTGTTGGGGGCAGTGGTGGTCGAGTCGATGGCAATTGAGGAGGGAGTACGAGGCGAGGCAGGGATGGATGAGGGAAAAAGGGAGAGTGGAGGAGGAGAGAAGGAGAGTTTGTGTAGGCTACGAGGTGCGGATGTGGTAGTGCGAATAATGGATACAGAGGGGGGAGTGTTTTTGATAGCAGAATTTTTATTCTTGGAACTGTAACTTAACTCTGGTAAGGAAACACTCCCTTTGTCCAGAGGAGAAAGGGAGGGAACGTCGACGATCAAGTCCTGGACTAAGCCTGATCGTCGGAGGCTTTTCCCGACTCGGGGGAATCACCCACGGCTACTTGATAAACCCATCGTCCTTGGCGGTTGTTGTTGTTGCCACGGTTGGTATTGTTGTTGTCGCCGTAGATGGGGCACTCCTTTGCATAATGTCCAGGTTGGCGACAGCGACGGCAAGCATTGTTGTTTTTACACCATTCGCGTTCCTGAGGGGTCAGGGAAGGGGGATTACCGTTGTTGTTGTTTCGGGGGCCGTTGTTGTTATTGTTGTTGCGGTTGTAGTTATTGTTATGACCCATGTTTCTCTCTAGGCGATTAAATCGTTGGGTGATATTGTTGAGGGCGATCTGGATGTTGTCGATTTCCATGGGGGTGGCTTGAGAGAGAGCGGAGGAAGAGGTGAAGGAAGAAATGATGGGGGCGGAGGCGATGGCGAGCGAGTTGGTCTTGGGGCCGGTGTCGGGTTTGAAGGAGTAAATGCGGTCCATCTCTTGGGCGTATTGAAAGATCTGAATGAGGGTGATATTGGGGTTTTGAATAATGTGTCCTTCGATCATCTGTTGAAGAACCAAGGGGCAGTTGTCGATAAAGGATGTTTGGGCGAACTCGTTGACCGTGGTCTTGGCAGCGTCGGTGGAGGCATAACCAAGAAGGGCGCCCAAAAGTTCCTTGAATGTAGATAAGTAGGTCGAAAAGTTGGTGGTCATGCGAAGATTGGTGAGGTGTCGTCGACAGGAGCCCGCAAAGTTGTTGGGAATGTACTCTAGCTTAAAAGCAGGAGTAAACTCGGTCTCGAAGTTGCAAGTATCAGGGAGCCCACATCCATCAAACCATCGGGCAGGGCCAGGCGTGCCCAAGTACGAGAGAGCGTGGGGTGTTCGTTCAGTCTCACTTATCTTAGCAAGGTTGAAGTAGCGGTTAACCGCAACGAGCCAGGCCAAGGCAGAGAAACCGTCGCGGGCGCCTGTAAAGACAGGAGGGGGGTTAAGGCGGGCAGGGGTAACCATGACTGGTAGTGCAGAGAGAAGTGCGGAGAGGTCAAAAATGTCCAGAGTGTAAGAGGGTACGAAGGAAAATAGGGGCAGGGAATGAAATTCAGGGCTGGTGTGCAGAGAGAGCTGGGACGAGGGAAAATTAAAGTAAAACGCGGGCAGTGAAAACGAGGAGGGAAAAATCAAGAGGTCAGTGGAACGAGGGAACCTTTGCTACCATGCAACAGGCGAAGACTGGGACAGAGAAGTATAGAACGGGGACGAGAGTTGAAGCAGTGATGATTGATGTTATTACTATGGTACAACTAAATATATATACAAAGTCGCCAACTAGGTTTCTAGGTGTAGTGTCATAGTGAGTCAGAGATGATAGAGAGTGACAAGGAATGACTAACTAGAGAGCAATGATAAACCTAATATGTTGCAACCATCCAACTTCCGCGAAGTCGCAACCAATACGCTAGCCAGTCTCAAAGCGGAGAACATCGCTCTATCCGAACAGATTGTGTACATGTCGACTCTTCTGGCAGGACGACCACCTCAGCACCTGCTCCAACACTATCAGCAACAAATTGCTATCAACAAAGACAAGGAGAAAGACAATGCACAATTGATCAAGCAACTGGAGTCATCGCTGTATGAACTCAGGATAAAGAAGCACCCAGGGTCCACCATCTCAGCACACTCCACCATATTAACGCCAACAGCAGCGACCGCAACAATTGCCAACAACACCCCAACGGCGGTAGTCGCAACATCAATGACCCAACAAGCGGCCATCAAACCAACACCCGACATGCCCAGATTCTCGTTGAATCCAGCCACAGCCTATGAAACCAATGAGACCAGAGTCTTTCTCGAGCGCTTCGCAACCCATCTCAAAACACGTCTCGGCATGGATACCTTCGAAAACGAGTGTCATCGGTATCTCATCGTCCTCACTAACGACGACCATTATCAACAAGAGCTACAACGTCGATTCGCCGCCATCGAAGGAAACATCGGTTGGGACATGGCGGAGAAGGTATTCCTCAGCATCTGCCTCACCAAAGAGGAACGTTTGGAGAACATGCGGAACATGGCAGACATGGGACGCAATATGGGCGAGACGTATAACCGTTATTCCGCTCGTATCCTTCGGCATGCACGAGTGAATGGAATCCAAGACGATAACGACATCATCCTTCATCAACTCGGGAGGTCGATCCCGGGGATGGAGTACGATTTCCTGCTCTTTAAGCATCAGATAAAGAACCCAGACGCCACAGCCTTTAAATCGATCAATACCCTATGTGCACTGATGAGCACATTAACGGGACCTGAGGATGCAATCGATCAACCTCGGGCAGTGGGACGATCTCAGGATCAATCGCAACAGCAGCAGCAGTCTTTTGGGCCACGGCACAACACCTTCACAAATGGAGTTCGAGGATCACGCGGAGCATCTCGCGGAGCACTCAGAGGAACTTTCCGAGGCCGAGGACAAGGGAGAATGAACCCCATGGGACGCAGCAACAGTCAGCCCCCTTTTGGGCAAGCACCCGGGCAACCTCCTCGAGCAGGCATGAAGTTCTGCCAAGGCTGCAGCTGGAATAACTCGCACGAAACCAAGGACTGCCGATTCTGCACATTCTGCAGCAACAGGGGTCACACCTATGGAGGCCTTTCAGGTCCAAGTTATCATATGGTGTTTGTTACATCTCTGTAGATCTCGACAATATCCATAGCGACTATGGGATGAGAATGTATATATGATACCAAGCATATAAGACAACCATTGTAACATTTTTTGTTCAACTATCCTACTAAACACCAACCTATTCTCCAAACAACAAAGTCTTCTTATTTTTCGCACACCACACTCTTGAATATGTCCATCTACTATTAAACTGTAACCCTCACTGCAAGATTCGCCAGAGTAGTTCTTGTATGTCATCATCTAAAGCACTTGTACTCTCAACTGTATCTTTGGGGCGAAATACAGGGGAGAGATTACATTTTAAAAAAACATGTGCTGTCTATTGCTATTTTATTCTGTGTTCTGTTGCCCACTATGAAGAGATATGTCAGTTATGGAAGTAAACACTCCGTTCCTTGGGCTTTGGATATTTTTTATATGCCTTTTTATATCCTCTGCACATGAAGGGGCCGCTACCGAAAAAAATATAAAAATATATTTGTATTCTCAACTATGTGCTTGCTATATGATAGATACCATCCTACATGCTGTTGTGTATGCAGTTAAGTATAAGCCTTTTTAAAAAATTGTTATTGTTGGTTAACGTCATGACAATCCAATACATAAATATTATTATGGATCTAACAAAACACTTCCAACAACTGCTTGATGACCATTGGACTTTCCTCAACGCTGGATGGCCAACAATTACACCACGTAATAATCATCGTACTGTAAGCAAGGAAATTGGGTATATGCCAGAAATAAAAGAAACCCTAAATCGACGCCTTGGTCCTATTCCAGTGTACTTCTTTCTTGTTGACATCTGGCCAAAGGTTAAGTATCCTGGTCCATACAAAGAAGTGGAGAAAGGTCTTTTAATGCTCTATCATCTTGTCAAAGGACTGTCTATGGAAGCAATGGAACCACACATGCCAAAAAGTAGTTTTCATGCAATGCACTCTGTGTTTTATAAGAAAGAATATACTTTGCACAACAAGTACATCACCAACTGTATTGCAACAATGTTCTCCACAATTAAAATACGCCTTTTGTCTGCAAAGGAAAAGAATCCTCCATTATTTAAGCATGTTACATTGCATCTTGATGGTCATGATACAAGAGCAACATACAAAGGTGAGAGTAGTGCTGATATGTACTCTTACAAGCTGAAAAAGTCAGGATTACGCACACAGGTAGCAATGGATTGTAATGGCATGGCTTTATTTGTCTCCAAATCTGCATCTTGCAAGAACAATGCTGATGGAACAATGCTGCTAACGATGAAGTTGGACAAGAGAGTGCATGAGATGGATTGCATTGCTCTCGATGGAGGGTATCCACAGTTCTTAAGGAGGCTTATAGATGAGTCTGATATTCTTAGAGTCCAAAATTTCGCTCATCCATACCGTAAACAGAAGAACAAGGAACTTACACAGGAAGAAGCGTTATACAATACCACCTTTGGTAGTTTCCGCTCGCAGATGGAATCTCTGTTTGCAGACCTTGGTTCCACATTTGAGAAACACAACAATCGTACTCCTGTGTTGGTGGATAAGAAACAAACATATAATTTGCAGTTGAAGTTATCTTTATTACTCTTAAACATGAAAAAGATGGTTGCTTTGTTGAAGATTTCTGCAGAACCAATTCATACAGCTTGGCTTCGCGAAGGCTTCGAGTATCCGACAACAGAGAACGACGTTGAGCAACCAATGGGATATGTTGATGTTGGTGCGCTAGTGGAGGATGGAAATACAATGGCACAACTCCAGAACAAATTTCTTGGTATTAATCTTCATGGTGATGTTGATGTTAATGTTGATGAGGACACACCAATGGATCAAGCAGTAATAATGCAACCCGGTCTTTCCATTGAGCTTAGAGGTACGAAGCGACAAATGGATGTTAATGGTAATCTGTAGACTTATTGCAGGTTTTTAAAAGAATAGACATACATGGCCTATTTAGTCAGCTTTAAGATACGGTATTAACTGCCAAGACGCTAATATGCACCGGTATCTATTATTAAAAGCCATGGTATTATTGTAGTAGATCGGATGCTATTCTATGCTATTCTACAGCATTCCTTTTTATTTAACTAAGAGGATAAACACATGTACAAACCTACGTCATAAAATAATACTACATTCTTAACCATTTTTAAACCCCGTCTTTAATGCCAAGCAGTCTTAATAAGCAAGATCTACGTCATACGAGGAACACTACATTATTAACCACTTAGATGCCTTTTTAAAACTCTTTTGTTACTAAGCGCCAAGCAGTGTTAATAAGCAAGCGCTATTAATATCCAGTGTGGCAGTGTCCCTGAATTAGGAGGCCTTTCAAGTCCAAATTATCATATGGTGTTTGTTACATCTCTGCAGATCTTGACGATATCCACCGCGTCCATTAGAGGAGAATGTATATATGATACCAAGCATATAAGACAACCATTGTAACATTTTTTGTTTAACTATCCTACTAAACACCAACCTATTCTCCAAACAACAAAGTCTTCTTATTTTTCGCACACCAAACTCTTGAATATGTCCATCTACTATTAACCTGTAACCCTCACTGCAAGATTCGACAGAGTAGTTCTTGTATGTGATCATCTAAAGCACTTGTATTCTCAACTGTATCTTTGTCGTGAAATACAGGGGAGAGATTACATTTTAAAAATTCTTGTGCTGTCTATTGCTATTTTATTCTGTGTTCTGTTGCCCACTATGAAGAGATATGCCAGTTATGGAAGTCAACACTCCGTTCCTTGGACTTTGGATATTTTTTATATGCCTTTTTATATCCTCTGCACATGAAGGGGCCGCTACCGAATAAAATATAAAAATATATTTGTATTCTCAACTATGTGCTTGCTGTATGATAGATACCATCCTACATGCTGTTGTGTATACAGTTAAGTATAAGCCTTTTTAAAAAATTGTTATTGTTGGTTAACGTCATGACAATCCAATACATAAATATTATTATGGATCTAACAAAACACTTCCAACAACTGCTTGATGACCATTGGACTTTCCTCAACGCTGGATGGCCAACAATTACACCACGTAATAATCATCGTACTGTAAGCAAGGAAATTGGGTATATGCCAGAAATAAAAGAAACCCTAAATCGACGCCTTGGTCCTATTCCAGTGTACTTCTTTCTTGTTGACATCTGGCCAAAGGTTAAGTATCCTGGTCCATACAAAGAAGTGGAGAAAGGTCTTTTAATGCTCTATCATCTTGTCAAAGGACTGTCTATGGAAGCAATGGAACCACACATGCCAAAAAGTAGTTTTCATGCAATGCACTCTGTGTTTTATAAGAAAGAATATACTTTGCACAACAAGTACATCACCAACTGTATTGCAACAATGTTCTCCACAATTAAAATACGCCTTTTGTCTGCAAAGGAAAAGAATCCTCCATTATTTAAGCATGTTACATTGCATCTTGATGGTCATGATACAAGAGCAACATACAAAGGTGAGAGTAGTGCTGATATGTACTCTTACAAGCTGAAAAAGTCAGGATTACGCACACAGGTAGCAATGGATTGTAATGGCATGGCTTTATTTGTCTCCAAATCTGCATCTTGCAAGAACAATGCTGATGGAACAATGCTGCTAACGATGAAGTTGGACAAGAGAGTGCATGAGATGGATTGCATTGCTCTCGATGGAGGGTATCCACAGTTCTTAAGGAGGCTTATAGATGAGTCTGATACTCTTAAAGTCCAAAATTTCGCTCATCCATACCGTAAACAGAAGAACAAGGAACTTACACAGGAAGAAGCGTTATACAATACCACCTTTGGTAGTTTCCGCTCGCAGATGGAATCTCTGTTTGCAGACCTTGGTTCCACATTTGAGAAACACAACAACCGTACTCCTGTGTTGGTGGATAAGAAACAAACATATAATTTGCAGTTGAAGTTATCTTTGTTACTCTTAAACATGAAAAAGATGGTTGCTTTGTTGAAGATTTCTGCAGAACCAATTCATACAGCTTGGCTTCGCGAAGGATTCGAGTATCCGACAACAGAGAACGACGTTGAGCAACCAATGGGATATGTTGATGTTGGTGCGCTAGTGGAGGATGGAAATACAATGGCACAACTCCAGAACAAATTTCTTGGTATTAATCTTCATGGTGATGTTGATGTTAATGTTGATGAGGACACACCAATGGATCAAGCAGTAATAATGCAACCCGGTCTTTCCATTGAGCTTAGAGGTACGAAGCGACAAATGGATGTTAATGGTAATTTGTAGACTTATTGCAGGTTTTTAAAAGAATAGACATACATAGCCTATTTAGTCAGCGTTGAGATACGGTATTAACTGCCTAGACGCTAATATGCACCGGTATCTATTATTAAAAGTCATGGTATTATTGTAGTAGATCGGATGCTATTCTATGCTATTCTACAACATTCCTTTTTATTTAACAAAGAGGATAAACACATGTACAAACCTACGTCATAAAAGAATACATAAACACATGTACAAACCTATGTCATAAAAGAATACTATATTCTTAACCATTTTTAAACCCCGTCTTTAACGCCAAGCAGTCTTAATAAGCAAGATCTACGTCATACGAGGAACACTACGTTATTAACCACTTAGATGCCTTTTTAAAACTCTTTTGTTACTAAGCGCCAAGCAGTGTTAATAAGCAAGCGCTATTAATATCCAATGTGGCAGTGTCCCATGAATTAGTATAAATAAAGGACTCCACTTCCCTCTTGCTTAATCTTTATCTTATCTAGTAACCAACCAACCATTATCCATATCTATACAACCATCCATACCTATACAACCATCTTTTATTGCAATTCTTTATATCAGTGTACTAAGCAGCTGCAATCTACCACACATAAACTGAAAAGTCATTCACACCCACCATACCACAAGTACAATCTATATCGTTCATATCCAAAAACATGCAGTACGTTCAGCTTACAATCGAGCTCATCACCAAGGCCTTCGAGACATTTTCTTCTAAGAAGGGAGTGGAGTTTACCAAGAAAGATGCAAATAAGATCTTTAAGGCGCTTGATGAGGATGAGGGAGTAGAGAGATACTACTTTTGTGGTGCAAAGTGCACCAAGTCCAAGCGCAAATGCATGAAGGAAGTTGATGATGAAGGCATGCATTGTTATGTCCACGATCCTGCGCGCAAGTGTCAAGGCACAACCATTAAGGGCGCTAATTGTGGTAGTGTAGCCAAACTTGGTGAAACATACTGTGGACGTCATCGAGAGCAGCATAAAGGTCATATGAAAAGCAGTAACAATAAGGCACCTGCCAACAAGCGTACCAAGTCTTCCAAGATAACCAAGAAGACACATACTCCTGAGTTTGTCCCTTCAGATGATGATATGACTTCCGAGGATGAAGAACCAAAGAAGCGAAAGAGAAACAAGCAGGAGTCATCGGATGAGGAGCCGTCCGATGATGATGAAGAAGATATAATTGCCGTCTCCTTTCCGTTGAGTCCAAAGGTAGTTGACATAACGTCCAAGAAAAATGTACCACTCGCTAATACAGGCATATGGATGCGTTATGCAACTAATCCAGCTTTCCTGTATGCAAAAAACTATACTGTAAATGGCAAGTACATTATTAAGCTGAAGGAAAAGGACCTCTACATTGTATTGTGTCCACCTGAGCTCATGGGGAAAAATCTTCCTGTACCGAAATTATCTGACAAAGAGGTACGTATATTACAAAAGATGGGACTCCAAGAGGCAACTCCTGCTGATGTAGAAAAAATAGAAGAGTCTTCTGCTGATGAGAATTCTGACGATGATACAGATGATGGTGATACGTCTGATGATGCTGGCTCTGACGATGATTCCCCTGATGATAAAGACTCTGATGATGGCAAGTCCAATAACAGACCTGATGTAGAATCTGGAGATGATACCTCTAAGGATAACCCTGATGAAAAACTATCTCATAAAAAGTCATCTAAGGATGATGAGAAGAAGACTTCTCGAAAGAAAAGGCATTCAGAGATGCCCAAAAATGCAGAGCCATCTTCTAATGTAGACGTTTCTAAGGATGGAAAAGGTGAACATACATTTGCACTGGCCACAACGGTGCATAACATTAGATCAGAGAAAGACATAGCACGTGCGAAGGACAGAGGATGGATGATTCATCCTAATAACGACATGCTTGAGTATGCAACTAAGTTTACGATGAATGGCAAGTACATTGTCAGGCTATCTGGAAAGAATACATACGTTGGCCTGTTTACGCTTGATGCTCTGCGCGGTGTCGGTGATGTTCCAGAGTTGGATATCTTGGAACGCTCCATGCTTAGCAAGATGAAACTTCAACCATTGTCTGATGAAGAGAGAAAGACGCTTTTCAACGAGGAGATCGAAGTAGAAGAAGAAGTACCAGTAGAAGGACCAACAGATAAATCCAAGGTGATATGGAAAAAACTTAACAAGTACTTGGAATATTCCGAGAATGTACTTGTAAATGGAATGCACATTCTCAAGATGCGCAAAAAAGACACTGTAATCGGCTTGATGACTGATGACCATATTGCTGCAGAGAATGTAGAGTGTCATTCTCTTAGCCAGAAGGAAAAAGAGAAGTTGTTTGCTATGGGATTTAAACCGCATGAGCATAAGCAAAGCTTGCCACAGAAAGATGAGAGCACATGTGAGGATGATAAAGATGCTGAGGGCGATAAAGATGCTGAGGATGACAAAGATGCGGTGGGTGATAAAGATGCTGAAGATGACAAAGATGTTGAGGGTGATAACGATGCTGAGGATGACAAAGATGCTGAGGGTGATAACGATGCTGAAGATGATAAAGATGCTGAGGATGATAAAGATGCTGAGGATGTTATGTGGAAAAGGTACCCTAAAGATAAAAGCTCTTCGGGTATAATCGTCATAGATAAAGACGAAATTAAATGGACAACATGTTCGTTTGACAACAAGCATGAATATGCAACCAACTACCTTTTCGACGGATGTCATCTGCTCAAGAGGTACGAAGAGGACATTATTGTTGGACTGCTGTATAAGATACCTGCAAACGGTGACAGTAACTATAGTCGAGACAAATTTACCAACAACAAACAAAAGCAGAAGTTAATTGCCATGGGGTTCACGATCGAGGAATTGCCTAAATTGTACTCTCCAGATGTAAAGTTTTGGTAGTTGTTGAGACAGATGAAGAGTAGATATTTTAAAAACTATCCAATTGTCAACAGTTGGCATTTGTGGTTGTATATATAGCATGAACTTTTTAAAAATGTAACATGTCTTCGACACTTCCACCTAGGAGGCCTTTCAAGTCCAAATTATCATATGGTGTTTGTTACATCTCTGCAGATCTTGACGATATCCACCGCGTCCATTAGAGGAGAATGTATATATGATACCAAGCATATAAGACAACCATTGTAACATTTTTTGTTTAACTATCCTACTAAACACCAACCTATTCTCCAAACAACAAAGTCTTCTTATTTTTCGCACACCAAACTCTTGAATATGTCCATCTACTATTAACCTGTAACCCTCACTGCAAGATTCGACAGAGTAGTTCTTGTATGTGATCATCTAAAGCACTTGTATTCTCAACTGTATCTTTGTCGTGAAATACAGGGGAGAGATTACATTTTAAAAATTCTTGTGCTGTCTATTGCTATTTTATTCTGTGTTCTGTTGCCCACTATGAAGAGATATGCCAGTTATGGAAGTCAACACTCCGTTCCTTGGACTTTGGATATTTTTTATATGCCTTTTTATATCCTCTGCACATGAAGGGGCCGCTTAGTATAAATAAAGGAGTCCACTTCCCTCTTGCTTAATCTTTATCTAGTAACCAACCAACAATTATCCATATCTATACAACCATCCATACCTATACAACCATCTTTTATTGCAATTCTTTATATCAGTGTACTAAGCAGCTGCAATCTACCACACATAAACTGAAAACTCATTCACACCCACCATACCACAAGTACAATCCATATTATTCATATCCAAAAACATGAAGTACGTTCAGCTTACAATCGAGCTCATCACCAAGGCCTTTGAGACATTCTCCTCTAAGAAGGGAGTGGAGTTTAACAAGAAAGATGCAAATAAGATCTTTAAGGCGCTTGATGAGGATGAGGAAGTAGAGAGATACTACTTTTGTGGAGAAAAGTGCACCAAGTCCAAGCGCAAATGCATGAAGGAAGTTGATGATGAAGGCATGCATTGTTATGTCCACGATCCTGCGCGCAAGTGTCAAGGCACAACTATTAAGGGTGCTAATTGTGGTAGTGTAGCCAAACTTGGTCAAACATACTGTGGACGTCATCAAGATCAAGATAGAGGTTATATAAAACGTAGTAACAACAACGCACCTGTCGACAAGCGTACCAAGTCTTCCAAGGCTTTAAAGAAGACACATACTTCTAAGTTTGTGTCTTCCGATGACGATATGACTTCCGAGGATGAAGAACCAAAGAAGCGAAAGAGAAACAAGCAGGAGTCATCGGATGAAGAGCCGTCCGATGATGATGATGAAGAAGATATAATTGCCGTCTCCTTTCCGTTGAGTCCAAAGGTAGTTGACATAACGTCCAAGAAAAATGTACCACTCGCTAATACATGTATATGGACGCGTTATGCAACTAATCCAGCTTTCCTGTATGCAAAAAGCTTTACTGTAAATGGCAAGTACATTATTAGGCTAAAGGAAAAGAATCTCTACATTGCATTGTGTCCACCTAAGCTCATGGGCAAGAATCTCCCTGCGCCAGAAATATCTGAGAAAGAGGCACGCATATTGGCCAAGATGGGTCTTCAAGAGGCAACTTCAGCAGATGTAGAAAAAATAGAAGAGTCTTCTGCTGATGAGAATTCTGACGATGATACAGATGATGGTGATACGTCTGATAATGCTGACTCTGACGATGATTCCTCTAAAGATAAAGACTCTGATGATGGCAAGTCCAATAACAGACCTGATGTAGAATCTGGAGATGATACCTCTAAGGATAACCCTGATGAAAAACTATCTCATAAAAAGCCATCTAAGGATGATGAGAAGAAGACTTCTCGAAAGAAAAGGCATTCAGAGATGCCCAAAAATGCAGAGCCATCTTCTAATGTAGATGTTTCTAAGGATGAAAAAGATGAACACACATTTGCACTGGCCACAACGGTGCGTAACATTAGATCAGAGAAAGACATACCACTTGCAAAGGATGGGAGGCCATCCATGTTCGGCTCCACCAACCATAGACTACAGTATAAAAATATCTGTCAACACCTATTAAAACAGTGTGTTCCTTGAGAGTACAACAAATCTCATCAGCTTTTTCCTTCCACCAGTCTCCATTTTCTACATTCACCACCACTACTTTGTAACATCATCTACTTTAGCTGAGAAAGCCTTGGACATGATCATCTCATATTGGATCCTGGATATTACAGATAGTAATTTCCTTTCCAATATGAGATGATCATGTCCAAGGCTTTCTCAGCTAAAGTAGATGATGTTACAAAGTAGTGGTGGTGAATGTAGAAAATGGAGACTGGTGGAAGGAAAAAGCTGATGAGATTTGTTGTACTCTCAAGGAACACACTGTTTTAATAGGTGTTGACAGATATTTTTATACTGTAGTCTATGGTTGGTGGAGCCGAACATGGATGGCCTCCTAGTAGAGCATTTGTTTTCGTGTTTATATAATTAGCGATGGTTACTAATATCTCCTTTTCATGATATATCCTATGTGTATATCCAATATAGCACTCGTGATACTGGTGATGATGTAGTGGTAGTTTTAAAAAAAAAGTTGGATCCCGATTTTTTTAAAAAGTAGCATAGTGGCTTTAACAAACATTGGTTGTTGGAAAGAAAGGGTAGCTGATACGTTTTTAATGGCGTTATTGCTACACTTTCTCAACAATATTCGACATTCGACATTTGACATTCGGCATTCGATTCGACAGCTGACAAACTGTAGTTATTACCATAGTTATGATATTTGATATGAACGCATTTTGGATGACCTCGTGATTATCGTGATGTTTAATTTTAATACATTCTTGATAAACTCGTAAGTATTACAATGTTTAATGTTGACATACTTTAGGTAAGCCCACGATTTGCACGACGTTTAATATTATTACACTTTGGTTAACTTACAATTGTTATAGCATTTATTGTTATACAGATTGTAGGTAATTACGACAATGGTAAAAACAGAGATATCGCAATTAGACCATGCATTGTGGGTAGTTGTAGATATAACAATTATATCGTTTAAAATAGACGTTTCTTAAAACACATCACATATTTTATAATGCAAATGGCTATTATATTACAACGTTTCTATTGCATTTTGTGTGATAACAAGATAGAAAAAATGTATTGTTAATAGAGTAATTATGTCGTTAAAAATAGACGTTTCTTAAAACACATCACATATTTCGTGATGCAAATGGATATAAACATCGTGGCGTTTCTATCGCATTTTGTGTGATAATAAGGTAGAGAAAATGTGTTGTTAACAGAGTAATTATGTCGTTTAAAATGGACGTTTCTTAAAACGTATCACATATTTCGTGATGCCAATGGGTATAAACATTGTGACATTTCTATCGCATTTTGTGTGATAATAAGATAGAAAAAATGTGTTGTTAACAGAGTAATTATGTCGTTTAAAATAGACGTTTCTTAAAACTTATCACATATTTCGTGATGCAAATGGGTATGAACATTGTGACATTTCTATCGCATTTTGTGTGATAATAAGGTAGAGAAAATGTGTTGTTAACAGAGTAATTATGTGGTTTAAAATGGACGTTTCTTAAAACGTATCACATATTTCGTGATGCAAATGGGTATGAACATTGTGACATTTCTATCGCATTTTGTGTGATAACAAGACAGAAAAAAGAAGTTGTTAACAGAATAGTTATGTCGTTTAAAATAGACGTTTCTTAAAACACATTACATATTTCGTGATGCAAATGGGTATGAACATTGTGACATTTCTATTGCATTTTGTGTAATAATAAGGTAGAGAAAATGTGTTGTTTAAAGAGCAACTATGTCTTTAAAAATAGACGTTTCTTAAAACGTACCCCATATTTCGTGATGCAAATGGGTATGAACATTGTGACATTTCTATCGCATTTTGTATGATAACAAGACAGAAAAAAGAAGTTGTATAAATAAAAGTTATGTAGACTTAGGAAATGTCTATAAAATATCGTTTGTATACTTTGGTGGTTGGGAGAAAATTGGTGGTTACAAAAAAGTTGTCGCAAAACCGCCATGATGAAATACTTTGACATCTGGTTGAGGGGCTTGCTCCCCTATCGTGTTTATCGTTAATAGTTTTAAAAAATCCAAAAGTGTGTTATATAAAGGAATTTTTGCTAATAGTTTACCAGGTTGTAATTACAGTCATGGCAAACTTAAAGCGCCTATTTCAACGGTTGTTAGAGGATGAATGGACTTTTTTGGATGTAGAATGGCCTACGCAAGAACCATCTAATAATCATAGGACTGCGTTGAAGCTAGTAGCACATATGAAAACTGTTAAAGACTTACTTATAAGAAGATTAGGTGCAATTCCTGTATTCTACTTTCTTGTAGTTATTTGGTCTCTCAAGCAGTATCCAGGTCCATACAGAGAAGTCGACAAAGGATTGTTGATATTGTACCACTTAGTTGCAGGCTTGGCAATGGATGGAATGTCAACCCACATACCAAAAAGTAGTTTCCACTCCATTCATACAGAGTTCTACAAGACTAACTATAATGTGCATTCGAAGCATATTAACCATGCACTTGCGAATATGTTCTCCACATTTCCTATACGCTTGATGTCTGCTAAACTCAGGAATCCACCACTATTCCCACATGTAACATTGCATTTGGATGGTCATGATACACGTCTTTCATGTGAAGAAAAGTCTAGCTCAGACATGTACTCTTACAAGCTGAAGAAATCTGGTGTAAGAACGCAAGTGTGTGTCGATTGCAATGGCATGGCAATACTAGTCTCTAAATCGCTACCTTGCAAGGATAACAACGATGGTACTATGTTGGTTGGTATGAAGATACATAAGCACATCCACGAGCTAGATTGTATTGCATTGGATGGAGGGTACACACAATACATTAAGAAAATAGTAGAAGAAACAAGCATGAGCAAGAAAAACTTTTGTTATCCAATTCGCAAAAGCCGTGGGAAAGATCTTGCACAAGATGAAACTAACTACAATAAGATTTTCGGCAGTTTCCGCTCTCAGATAGAAGCCGAATTTGGAGATCTTGGAGCAACCTTTGAGAAGCACAACAATAGGAAACCAGTGTTGGTAACCAAGATAGAAACATATAATTTGCAATTGCGATTGTGTCTCTTACTTATGAACATCAAGAAGATGGTGGCACTACTGCAGTTAAATCTGGAACCCATTCATAGTGCCTGGATTAGAGATGGCTTCGACTTTCCATATGCCAATGGTGCAATGGAACAAATCTTGGATTATATTCCAGTGGATGAGATGTTGCATGATGCACGAGATATAACAAAGTTACAAGAGCAGTTCTTGGAGATGACTACTATGGATGTCGAGGATAAACAACGGGAAGAGCCGACTAATAAGCGACGTGAAATTTTTGCAGGAGTGGAGATTCCATCATATAAGCGTACAAAGTAAGCCCATTGTAATTTTTAAAAACTATCTATTAGCATTCTTAACGTATATAAATATCCTTGAACCCGCGAACAGTTCTGCATTGCAATGTGGTGAAATTCATATACGGAACTTGGCCATCGGGATATTCTTCCAGCCATGCAACGATCTTTGTTTCTAAACTAAGTCCACATCGTACTTTAATACCGTTGGACAATGTTGCAAAAATATATTCTTTGTTGTGATACATATCCATTGCAATTGCTATGACTGTATAGCTGGTATTTATTTCAAGTACATTATATCCAGCTTTGTATGTTGCTTTGTGGATAGCTCTATCATGGACTTGTATAAAATTCTCACCATTCATGTTTTCTAGATGAATATCAACAATTGGTGGTGCACCTTTGCGGATTCTTCTCTCAGGCCATTGGATCTTTACATTATCTACCTCCACTATACCCATATCCTCGAATTGTAAAACATCATCATCGTAAATGTATGGGTACATGCCTTTATGTGCTCCTGCAACAAGTGTTATTGCTGTACATTCGTCAGGCCGTTTGTACTTGGTAACTGTAATATCCTTGATGCTATTCTCATCCATCTCAACCTCCAAAAAGTATATTGGTCTATCGTTGAAGCTATAGTTGGCTAACAACGTCATTGCTTCCTCTTTCTCGACATTGTTACGATATGAACCATACTTCTTACCTGTAACAGAGTTCCACCAATGGCAATATGCGAATGCCGATTTTTCACCCATTGTTACATGAATACCTACCATGGATGATATATTGCCAACTATGTACTTCCAATATGCCTTGTGCTTTACGCAGAAGGTGGGACATTCTTGGATCTCTTCCTTTATGGCATCCAAAACTCCTTTATAATAGGAGAATGTATATATCTCCTGTCCATAAAAGGTAAGTTCAAGTCTTGTTAGACCTGTTTTCTTTGCCTTTCGAAGTCTCTTATGTAGGTCCTTATCCACATCCATGACAAAATTCTCCATTCTTGAACCCAACGACATTTTTACTTCAGCACTCTCCAACATCTGTACAAGTTTGTTGTAGACCTTACAACGGACCTTTTGGTCTTTTTCGGTGACTCCAAACCAAGAAAGACAGTGGTTACCAACCTTATGGAGATCGTTGGCAATATCTAAATTTTCTCCAAATCTCTCTTGAAGGTACTGTTGAAGAATTGGACGGCTTGTGACATATCTACAATCCGTAGCAATATCTATATCATGAAGGATAACGTAGTCAACCTCCAGTTCATCAAGTATTGGTATTATCTCGGATATTAGAGATATGGCCTCTAGTTCATGGAGCGTTACCTTAATGCTAAAGTAACCAGCATGGTATAAGGCCGAACTTCTAAACTTTTTTCTATGTTTTTCTAGTAGTTTAGAGCTAAAAAAACTATTGTCTTTGATATAACCCTCGTTAACAACTTTAACCATGGAGTGGCTAACATCGAGGCCTTTAAAAGCTTCGCGAATATTGGAAGTGGTGTTTTTGCGCTGCTCGTCAACAAGTGCAGCCCGGTTGTGCAATCCCCAGAGTATTAAACTATCGCAGAATATCTCTGAGTACTTTTTCCAGCCCGTCTTCGGTTTGCCAGGCAATGCAATCTCTTTGCCCACATCAGAGATAAGATGGGCATATGAGTTCAGCGCCTTGTTAATGGATTTAGGTATAGCGGACATGTTGAATAGCTTACTGTTTGCAGAGATATGTACTACA